AATGTACATGTACATACTAAATAAACTTTGTACCGAGAACCCTATTTTCCTTACTACTAATAACTTTTGCATATTTCATTTTACCCTCCATATATCGGGTACCCCTAAACCTGAATAACAAATTGAGAGGCAAATGTTGTGAAACACAAGAACCAAGAAGCAGCGTATTTTGTCGAATTTGGGCATTTTCTTCATTTCTTGTGTTTTGCCTATTAGTGTGTGAATTAGTGCTCTATAGGGAGGTGTAGGTGTAGGTGAGGTCACGGGAAATATACTGACCACAACGTATGTATATAGAGATTCCTCGGCGAATACCTGGAGCGATTACCTTCCAATTTACCTAGCCTGTAAAAACAAAGGGTTCTGGGGTATCTCTTAAAAGTTGTTTTTGTTTCTTTGGAACCTTGATATGATGAATTGCACATTGCTTGAAAAACAAAACTGTATGTTAAAAGAGAAGTGGACACAATATTGGAAATCTTCCCATGTGTGTATTTCGTATAATGTTTACTATGTACAATAATTCGTGCATATTGCTTCCAATAAAAAACAAACAAATATATGCTGCAAGATTATTCATTGGACATATTATACGTTGTGGACCCATCTCTCAAATATGCCATTTACTTGTTATCCAAAAAATGGAATGATTTGTTCGCACTTATATATCCACATTTCACATGGTCTAGCGACCCTACATACATATGTACATGTATAGCTTAAAATTAAAAACACAAATGCATGCCACAAAACAATTGGACATACTTCCCAAATCTGCATATTTCAATATCGCAGGTAAGCATATAGTGAAGCACTTTCGCATTTCTAGGTTCACCACATAAACAGAAGTAGGAAACAGCTCGATTCAGAAGGAGGTTTTGTATTGATACGCGAGTGGTTCTTTGGTTTTTAACAAAGCAATGCTTTAAATCTCTAATATATGACATTATAGGTCACGGGGTACACGATAAATGCTTTTGTCATATTTTGACATATTTTTTAAATAAACGCAATCTCAAAAGAGTAAAAAATCTGTTTAAAAATAAATACTTGTACAACTTTTTTTCTTTTGGTAGTTTTATGCCAAACAAGCGGAGGGGCATCGGGTCGGTCTTATGTGGTAGAAAAGAATAGAACCTGTCATAGAAGAAGGTAGAATTCGTCATAGACTACAAAGATTATTGGCAGGTTACCAGCTAACACGTCCCTAACCATGACGTGTAGGCGTCGCTGAAATATGATGTTATTCAACATCAAATTATTGATGTAAAATTATAGTTTTATAAATCATATATTTAAAATGAACTTTTGACTTTTTAAGAAAACATGCATGCAAGGATTAATGTAAGCCAAAAGAGATTTCAAAATTGACAATAATTGACATTAATTGACAATATAGCACGCATGTCACAGTGACCCACAATTGAAAACAACTAATAATTTAAATGCGTTTAACATTCTAATTCAATATCTTTGGAATTTCTATTCGTTTATCGTTCTTATTCTGTCAATGCTATCTCTATAAGAGACTAACACGATCAAATCACGAGAGATAATCGTATAAACACAACACAGATTGCCAGAGGTTCTCACCGATGGCTACAAAATGAAGATAGATTCAACCGGTGAAATGTTTTTATCTTAATTAGAAGTCAATGAGGTGAGATTGAGGAAAGTGATTCAGACACGATATATTCACTTACAACCAATCCAACCATAACGAAGAGAAATAAACAAACAAGCAAACGAACAATATGTGTTTCTTTTATGTGCAATGTCAGAAGTTAAAACGGTGTTTGTTATGTAGTGTTTTCTGGAGAAGAGTTGTAAGCAGAAATCGAAAACCTGGATCCTACTTGCTAGTTAACTATATTTGCAGAAATGTTTTGGTAAACATCGTGCAATTTCTACATATCTTAACAGCAGGTTTACACGCCTAATAAACTGATAAGCATACCATAACACTGGACGAAACAATGCAACTTTCAACGAGTTCTCGACGCTCATTCGACAACTCTAGAAACCAACAACCGAGATTTCTACTTATACCGATTTGTTCAATTAAAATTGCGCTAATCTACAAGTATTCAATTAACCTTTGTCCACCTAGAGGGGAAATGTTCTTATAAGCACTCGAAATAAAGATACAATATATCTTTATGTCTCTCACCAGCTTCTTTCCTTAATTTTGATAAATTATGCAACTCCGACCCCCTTCGCGGGACACGAGTATTTCACTGAGACAGATAAGAGACTACTATAAATACTTTGGTTTCAAATTATATAGACCTGTCGTTTCTCTAAGCCAACAGTTTGTACTTCTAAAAGTGGAAATATATCAAATTCCTAATTTTCTCCAGTTTGTCTACTTTTGACCGAATTTGATATGATTTTCGATTGTAAAAATATTATTGCAAATTGAAAGTGTCCATTCAAATAGCAAGCTACTGTAAACAAAGTCCAACTGTCCAGTAGATGTTTCACCATATAGATACACAAGGAAGGCTCAAAGGTGCAAGATCAGATGTAGAATCACTGAATGTTGAGATATTTACTGTATTTAGAAATTTATTACCCGCATGAGGAAGTCATTTCAAGCAACTGTTGTGTCGATCTGAAACTGTTGGTGTTCCTGGAAAATTTAGTGGTCAATTGTAGGTTCCCAGGGTCAATCATGATTTCGGCCGTTTCATTTTTACGCGGACAAATTGATGGAGATTTTTTTTATGTAGGCTGGTTGAAGAAGCGTCATCATATGTTAGATGATGATTTTTTTTATAAAACTTTGGCAATCAATTGCATGTCTTATATTGTTTACTAAAGGAATAAATTTATGTATAAAAAAAAAAAAATGTTAGATCTTACTTCCTGCGAAAGTTATTTGGATTTTGACATAATAGCCATAAGTTTCAAAATCTAACATGGCTCTCGAAGTGAGTAAGTTAGATCTTGTTTCTAGATATACAACGAGATTTAAATGTATTTTATTCACTTTTAGTGAAAATTGGACTGGAGTTCATAGATAATAGATCTCTGTCATATTCTCCTTATTTTGTATTATATTGAATTTCAATTCATACCAATGGCTCGTGAAATTCAAGTTCCTGCTTACAAGTGACATTAATTCACAAAATTGGATTTATTTGAGCAATTCAATTCAATTATTGCATTATCTGTTCTAAAAATAGAAAAAAGATAAAAAGCTTCCAAAAAGTGAACTGCTGATCCATTTGGGGTTTGCACTTTGTTCTAATGTTTATATCATTATACTGAAAGATGTATTTATATCAGTACAACTCTTGTGGTTTGCTCTATTGACTGTAATTCTATCTTACTACTTCTAAAAGTATTTATAGTTCATATTCGTATTATATAGTTGGGTGTGGTTATGATTACTACGGTTTGGTTATTCAGTAGAGAGATTTCGCAACTTACTTATAGCATGTTTATTATTCCCATATAACGTGTAACTTATGAAGCGTCTGATTACGTCATCGTTTATTGCGCAGTAAGTTCCTCTATAAGTGTGGTATTCTTATGATAAACGACGATTTATAAGAACATCACACTTATGGACGTATAGCGCTGCGCAAACGTTATACGGAAATAATAAACATGCTATGAGTGAGTTGCGAAATCTCGCAAATATACAAGATGTTATGTTGTGTAATGCTTGATTTCATGATCATCCAAAAATAAAGCATATGATGGAGGGTCTGGGAAATCATATGTCAATATGGCAGAACATACGCTACTTCCACTGACTATTTATTTTCAGCCAAATTAAGAACCTAAAATGGAAGAAGGTCAGGGGTGCATCTTCACTTCCTTTAGCTTATGCTTTTTATAAAACCACCTTGACGTAAAACAATGTGTTTAGCAGCAGAGGCTCAGAAAGATCAAGGGCAGATGGCTTACTATCAAACAAATCACTGCCAAAGAACATCCTTTGTCTTTTTTGGATCTTGGAAATATTTTTGTTGGTAAACACGAAATGGAACCAGTGGTTAAGAAGCTGTTATAGACGTTTTCAATCGTTCAATGGAATCAGTAGCCCTCAAAGTCTCAAAAACCTTTCATTCTTGCTAATTGGACATTTTTCAATTTATTTATTTCTCTTATCAGCATTTATGAGACTGTAGTGTTCTGGGTACATTACTTGATGAAACTTAATTCAATCCATCCATTTTAGTTTAAAGTTTACGTAAGCGATAGACGTAAAAGAGATCACTAGAGATAAGATCATCGACGTTGGTGTTCTTTTATTTTGGATTTTGGACAAAAATGAGTTCGGAAAGTTATTAAATTGAACTTATGAAACAAAGGAGAATTCGTAGTTTAGACAGTTACCGTATACAGTTCAAGTAGTCCATATTCTGGATCTACACACTAGCGTTACTGACAACACTGTCAGTAATTTATTGCTTTGATTTGCACCTTTCATTTGAAACTGCAATATTATGTTTTCGGTTCAACGTTTCTTTATTTTGAGGAAGTGTTATAAAAAAGAAAGAATTTGTCATCAGGAGTAATAATGTCAATTTTTGAAGGTTATGCGATGTAATTATTATCCTAGTGTTAAAGGTTTGGGGCTTTGTAGAAGGCATATACTAGGTTGGGGAACTTTAGTGCGTGAAAAAATGCCCATTTTCATAAATCCACTTCGCAGTTTGTACATGTAAACGTTCATTATTACCTAAGGGCAACATTTTAACAAACAACAGAGTATTTTATTAGATAACCACCACTTGAAGTTTTTTCTTTCTGTTTTTAAGATGTATGATTTGTCATAATAGCCAGATGTACGAGATAAATAAGTACATGAACACGAACAGGGTCTGGCAATTATGATAGAAACAAAACAGCTGGCACACACATATCCCATAGATTATATATATATATATACTCGTTGGATTGTACTTTAGTGCTACTCAAATGCTCTCTATTGTATACGATATAAAAGAAATAAATATTTTGTAGCTTTGTTTATATTTGCTTACCGCTAGGAATTTCAGCTGGAATGGCGGTCACACCGACACAAGTCATTTCCCGACCCCCGGGTTTCGTCACCCTTGGGTATGATCTAGCCTGACCATACATCACTCTACTTTGCCTATACTTCTGGTAAATCTGCTGCCACCTGCTTTGAAGTTTCGTCAAAGTTCTGGGGACCTTACACCTACACTCAACTGGGCAAGGTTCGGGGGCATTTATCTGTCCATATTGTCCATTTGCAGTGTCGAAGCATCCCAATAAATCCGTTATTATTAACAGTGTCGTTAAAGTAATAAAATTGTTATATTTTGCCATGTTTATGATATCGTGTTACTTGTTGCCAATCTTAGTGTATATCTTCCTGTGTAAACATTTCAGTTCTGTGTCGAAGCAGCCCACTTCATATACTCTGCACTTCTGGTTTCGAAATAAAAAAGTTTATTTTAACTTTGTGTGTTTTTATATCGTTCCGTCTTGCACTGGTGTGCTGCACGACACGAGCAGTATTTCCAGTTCCAAAATTCACTTGCTTTTCTCTCGATCGGTAAAACTAATATAACAGCTCGTTTTAGAAATAAACCACTTTGTTTTTCCGTCCGTTTCAGTTCAGCTCGTCATTCAGCGTATAGGAAGAATCATAAACTGGCAAGGAAGTCCTGGAGATATGCATCAAAAATTCTGTGAAGAAACACAATAGTCAGCCGCCTCCACTGCAGCCGGGGATAATATTTATCCTCCTCTCTGTCCAACCACTGATCAAAAGTACTGATCGTGAAAGTAATTACATCAATCTTGGTCAGCTCCTAGGCGTATTGAATCAGGAACTTATTCTGAGCTGTACGCCAGTGCTTGCGGTCAGCGGTCCAAATGGGGGTCTCCTATTAGCTACCCAGCTAACAATTTTACGTTGTGATAACGTCGTCAGAATATATGTCTCAAGTTGTAGCAACGTTAAATATGGAACGTTGTAGGTACAGGAAGGTGTGGACTCGCACAGATGTTTAAAGAACGTTACATTTGACTTAAATATCACGTGTCAGGAACGTAGTAGCGACCTTAACAATTACGTCGCCAAAATAACGAAACTGTAACGTACTTACATTACGTCATATATACGTGGCCAATCTAAATTTCTGGTAACGTTGATATGGAACGTTGTAGGTACAGGAAGGTGTGGACTCTCATAGATGTTTAAAGAACGTTACATTTGACTTAAATATCACGTGTCAGGAACGTAGTAGCGACCTTAACAATTACGTCACCAAAATAACGAAAATGTAACGTACTTACATTACGTCATAAATACGTGGCCAATCTAAATTTCTGGTAACGTTGAAATGGAACGTTGTAGGTACAGGAAGGTGTGGACTCGCACAGATGTTTAAAGAACGTTACATTTGACTTAAATATCACGTGTCAGGAACGTAGTAGCGACCTTAACAATAACGTCGCCAAAATAACGAAACTGTAACGGACTTACATTACGTCATATATACGTGGCCAATCTAAATTTCTGGTAACGTTGATATGGAACGTTGTAGGTACAGGAAGGTGTGGACTCGCATAGATGTTTAAAGAACGTTACATTTGACTTAAATATCACGTGTCAGGAACGTAGTAGCGACCTTAACAATTACGTCACCAAAATAACGAAAATGTAACGTACTTACATTACGTCATAAATACGTGGCCAATCTAAATTTCTGGTAACGTTGAAATGGAACGTTGTAGGTACAGGAAGGTGTGGACTCGCACAGATGTTTAAAGAACGTTACATTTGACTTAAATATCACGTGTCAGGAACGTAGTAGCGACCTTAACAATAACGTCGCCAAAATAACGAAACTGTAACGTACTTACATTACGTCATATATACGTGGCCAATCTAAATTTCTGGTAACGTTGATATGGAACGTTGTAGGTACAGGAAGGTGTGGACTCGCATAGATGTTTAAAGAACGTTACATTTGACTTAAATATCACGTGTCAGGAACGTAGTAGCGACCTTAACAATAACGTCGCCAAAATAACGAAACTGTAACGTACTTACATTACGTCATATATACGTGGCCAATCTAAATTTCTGGTAACGTTGATATGGAACGTTGTAGGTACAGGAAGGTGTGGACTCGCATAGATGTTTAAAGAACGTTACATTTGACTTAAATATCACGTGTCAGGAACGTAGTAGCGACCTTAACAATTACGTCACCAAAATAACGAAAATGTAACGTACTTACATTACGTCATATATACGTGGCCAATCTAAATTTCTGGTAACGTTGATATGGAACGTTGTAGGTACAGGAAGGTGTGGACTCGCACAGATGTTTAAAGAACGTTACATTTGACTTAAATATCACGTGCCAGGAACGTAGTAGCGACCTTAACAATTACGTCACCAAAATAACGAAAATGTAACGTACTTACATTACGTCATAAATACGTGGCCAATCTAAATTTCTGGTAACGTTGAAATGGAACGTTGTAGGTACAGGAAGGTGTGGACTTGCACAGATGTTTAAAGAACGTTACATTTGACTTAAGTATCACGTGTCGGGAACGTAGTAGCGACCTTAACAATAACGTCGCCAAAATAACGAAACTGTAACGTACTTACATTACGTCATATATACGTGGCCAATCTAAATTCCTGGTAACGTTGATATGGAACGTTGTAGGTACAGGAAGGTGTGGACTCGCATAGATGTTTAAAGAACGTTACATTTGACTTAAATATCACGTGTCAGGAACGTAGTAGCGACCTTAACAATTACGTCACCAAAATAACGAAAATGTAACGTACTTACATTACGTCATATATACGTGGCCAATCTAAATTTCTGGTAACGTTGATATGGAACGTTGTAGGTACAGGAAGGTGTGGACTCGCACAGATGTTCAAAGAACGTTACATTTGACTTAAATATCACGTGCCAGGAACGTAGAACCAACCTAAACGATAACTTCGCAAAAATAACGAGACTGTAATGTGCTTATGCAACGTCACATATACGTGGCCAGTTTTAAGTTCTGGTACGTTAATTATGGAACGTTGTAGGTACAGGAAGGTGTGGACTCGCACAGATGTTTAAAGAACGTTACATTTGACTTAAATATCACGTGCCAGGAATGTAGAACCAACCTTAACAATGACTTCGCAAAAATAGTGAGACTGTAATGTGCTTATGCAACGTAACATATACCTGGCCAGTTTAAAGTTCTGGTAACGTTTGTCTTGGACCGATGTAGGCACAGGAAGGTCTGGACTCGCACAGATGTTTATACAATGTTACATTTTACTCAAATATCATGTGCTAGGAATGTAGTAGCAACCTTAACAATGACTGCAAAAATAAAATGACAGACTGTAACGTGCTTATGCAACGTCACATATACGTGGCCAAGTTAAAGTTCTGGAAACATTAATTATAGAACGTTGTAGGCAAAGGAAAGTGTGGACACGTATAAATGAGTATACAAGTTACGTTCGACTTAGATATCACGAGCCAGGAATGTAGTACCAACCTTAACAACGACTTTGCCAAAATAGACTGTAACATGCTTGTCATATACATGGCAAATTCATAACTTCTGGTTACATCAAGTTAGGACAACACATGCAAGGAATGTTCTAGTAACCTTAATTATGCCATCAACAAGATATAGTGATAGTAATGACTAACGTCCAGTTAAATGAATCATTACATGAACATAATTTAAAGTTCCTGTACAGGAAGATGTAGACACCGATGTTCAGTAAAATTATATATAACACACTAAGCCTAACATTTTCACATGTGAAGGTAAAACACAACTAACTTATGCTTTGACTTACTAACAAATGTATATTGTTTTTCCAATAATTAATGAGTTAATACACAATAACTTTTTTGAGCATCCAAATAGAGAATATTGACACACAGAATTGAACTTAAATATAATTACAGTCTTGTATGTCATCTATCAAAAATCTATCCTATCGTTAATAAGTTTTATTAAGTATTTTATTAACCCCTAAACGGTTAAGGGGGTGGGCAGATTTGCCGTTCTGGCTTGTCTTAAAATTGAATTAGGCATATATTAACTAATAAATTGTGATTAACCCCCCCCCCCCTAAGAAATGATAAACCCCCATGTTTTTAAAATATGAATTTCTTCATTAATAATGGCTCAATATAGTTATAAGAAAACTCAAAATACTGGGAGTTGAATACTTGTTACCTTTCCAATGATACCTAATATATAGAAGTTATTTAATGGGAGATTTTTGATAGAGGGTATATCTGAGGGAAATACAATATATCTACCTGAGGGACCGTAGGTTGATATATTGTATTTACTGAGGGATATACACTGTATCAAAAATCGAGCATTTAACAACTGATTTATCCTTTACTTAGTAGATTATGAGAATTAAATATGCATTGAAATTTCCCATTTTTCCCCAAATTTTTTTTCACATTATTTTTCAAATTTTTTTTTCACATTTTTTTAAAAAAGATTTTCACATTTTTTTCAAATTTTATTTTTCAAAATATGAGTTAGGCTATATGAGTTTGATAATCTCAGAAACTTAAAAAACCACTTTATAACACCAAGAAAATGTGTATCTTAAGTATATTTTTGAATTTTGGAACTTTATAAGGTATATGACGTACCAAGAACATCAGTAGGTATGAAATGCATCTGTTATGGAGGGTCGGTTTTGGATACAGGGTTTATCCCTCGGGAAATATGTGTATATCCCTTGGTCCCTCGGGATAAACACATATTTCCCTTGGGATAAAACCTGTATCCAAAACCTCCCAGTACATAACCCTTATATATCTCCCGCTCAACTCAGATATCAATCATATTCCTGCATGTTATTTACCTATAACACTACTAAGTATGGGATTAACCTTTGATGATATTTCGATATTTCATTTCCGAGATTGTGCCCAGATCTCGGCAGATCTATTCACCCCCTTTACTATGAATGTAATTATCTATAGCCTAACTGTTTAGGGGTTATATTGTTACTTTTCTGAACGGGAATGAATAAATATTCTAATTTGAGCTTGAACAAATGCTCTATTAGTTAACATGATATTGATTTTCAAAAAGCAATAATGACCATTTTAAGTTGGGAATAAATCTAGAAAAATTGCATGTTTCAGATATGAAGCCATTATATCTATGCAATCTTAAAAGTACTGTCCCGTTACTTGTTATAGAGATAAAAATTTAATTCAAACTGGCTTGCTTCTCGGAACAGATATTGTTTATGCTAAGTGTTCATTTTTCCTTGAAAGCATGAGCTCTCATTTGTCCTCATCACTTTCCAAATGTTTCTTCAAATGACTTGTACAGCTCAGTCGTTGTTTCCCTGGTTGCATGTTTAACACATTGCCATTCTGCTTGTTTTTGGACATTTTCCTGGAAAAAATCAATCTATTGAAAAGTATGAAATGTAACCTGTATACCCATACCCACTCTGTATATATTTAAGTCAAATGTAAGTCAGTGTCATTTTCAACCAAAATTGACCTAGCGATCTTTTCTTTACAATCTCAGATACAATATGTCTCAAAGGTCTACAATGTGTTGTAAATCAGTAAGTTATTGAGGATTAAAAGTGCGGAAATAGGGAAAATTTTTTAATTCTTCCAAATATAAATATGGAAGCCATATATATAAAATAAAATACATAATTGTAAAATGCTTTGGTAAAATTCTCTAGTATTCCTGAAGTAAAGTAAATATTTTTAGAATAGAATGACAAGGATCTTGCTAGATTTGATTCTGCTGTAAACTTAATATATATAAAATACTTCTATAATGAATAATAGATTAACCTGGACTTACCGAAGTCACTTTCCTCGCAACTCCCCAAGCTCAGAG